GGGTTCTGCTGGAGCAGAGGAGGCCAGGTGGTCATTTCCCGGCCTCCTGGGGGCCAACGAGAGTACTGGGGTTTAGGAGTCCCGGGGGACACCGAAACCTGCGGCAAAACCAGGCCAATAATAGGCTCACATATCTTGTGTGTGGACGTGTCTCTCATTGTCGCCCAGGATCCTCCTCATCTTCAGTGGTCAAAGTGGGCGCCACTGGGCCTGGGGACAGAACTGGTGGAGGCAAAAGCTGCCAAGGCCTCCTATCTTCTGGGCGCTAGATACAGAGAAGTGCACAAAAGCCCCCCTTAAAATAAAACTCGTCCCAGGAGCTCCCGGGCCCCCCCCCGCCCCAAACACCACAAAGCCACCCTCTTGAGGCGTGGTGCAAACCATGCTGTCTTCGAGGGGCTGTTGGTTCCCGATTCCTCCAGCCTCACGGTGAATCCAGAATTACTTTGTTAGGTAATTAGAAAGTGTTGATAATTATTTCTTTCATAATTTAGCGGTGTGGCGGGAACGGGGAAATGATCTTGTGAAAGTTCACACGTGCAGATGTATTAGTTACTGATTCATTTGATTAAATGGTAGTCTCAAGTGCTCGAATCCACAGCTGAAGGCGCCCCATTAGCATAACACTGATGTTTAATTTTCATACGCATAATTAGCCATATATTTAACACTAATAGCAACAAGCAGCCTTTCAGCGTTAAACAGCCTGGGATTTGATCTGGCCTGAGCTGAACCTTCCCCGACGCACCTTCCCCTGGCTGGAGTGTCGCAATGATCACAGGACAAACCTCTGTAATCAAGTACATTTTGGCAGAAGGAACACCAATAAAAATGAGCACTCAAAACAAATTACATCGGCGCTGTCGTTGCAGATATTAGTGGAAGGGGCTTCTCTATTTTTTAACTTCAGTAGCAGCAGCAGCTGCCCGCGGAATTCCTCTCCTTTGGTTTAAGGGCATGATGTTGGGGGTAGAAATATTTCAGGCTGTGTGGTTGGAGCAAAAAGAAAAAACAAAAGCCAAAAAAAAAAAAAAAAAAAACCCCAACAACAACCCACCCCACAACCGATCCTCCAAACCAATAACAGCTTTGCCAACGTTTAAAAAGATTTTTTTTCTTAATCACCCAACCACACGGTGATACTTTGTAGCAACAACCAGCTAATAATGACTCCGCTACCAGACAACTCCCAGGAGCTGCAGGACTCCTCTTGATTTCCGTGTTGCACTTGTGGTTTTCATTGCTCCTTCCTAGCGCCTATTTTGGGGTGTAGAGCCGGGTGTGGAGCGCGGTGTGGTGCGCCCAGCACAGCAGCACGGATGCCTCCGGGGCCCCTGGTTTCCCGCGCGCCTGGCGGGCCCTGACCACGTAAGTGATCGCCGTGGCTGGCGCGGTGGTGGGGTTGGGACCGAGGGAAGCGGGGCTGGTCACTCCAGGTGCTGGGGGCAATGCAAGAGGAAACCCGACAGCTGAGTCACCCAGGGCCAGTTTATTCCAGATGTAACTGCAGGGTGGGGGAATGGGAGAGAGGATGCCACAGGTCGCGATGGTCTGTCGCCAGGGCTCTCTGTCCACATCTGGAGTGGGGACTCCAAGCCATGCGTAGCGCAGTGGACCCGGCTGGCTCGGGGAACAAAAGACCCGCATGCGCCCCCTCAGGAACCGGTTTCAGAGCCTTGGTTATTTTAGAAATGAATTATTGTGGGCGAGCGAGTGTCCACACTCCGGAATTATTTCTTAGATCCAGAGAAGCAGTTGCAGGGAGGGGCGGATGAGCCAGGGCCCTCCGGGCTCAGGGACACCGCCGTCGTTGGCTAGCTTTCTCAACGCGTGATCTTATCTCTATTCTATGAGCCCGTCCAGTCCACCCCACACCGCTAAGGGGACACCTGTTCTGAAACGCAGGTTTGCTTAGATCTCTGCCTGTCCCAACTGTCAGAGGAAATAAAACTCTCTCTTGTATCCGGAGAATGTCCCGGATTGCCAGTAGAACCTCCTGGAGGCACGCAGGACTGGCGCCTGGTGGTTAGCTGTAGCCACCAGTGGGCTGGAATCCCGGTGAGGTTTGGAGCCAATTAAGCTGGCAGGGGTGAGGGGTGGAGAGTGGTACTTTAAAATCTGCTTCCCTAACTTCAACTTTAAAGCATGTTAAACGGAGTTGGTTCCAAATGAAGTTTGTTTCCTATGGCGCTGCAGAGTATTGCCTGTATATGGACAATGTTTAAACTTTAGGTTAGTTACTTTAATAAAGGGGTTATAAACCCATACATACTTGCACCTTGGCATAATTGCTGCACAGCAGTGTGCTATCTCAGTGGTTGGTAAAATCCTGTGGTCCTAATAAAATTATTCTTGGGGAACCTGACCTGTAGAGAAGATACAGGTAACTGGTGCAATCCGACTGCTCTGGGAGAGAAGTGAAGTCCTTCTCAGGCAAGAGACACCAGGTCTTTCAGAGGCAGCAGCCCCTGAGAGTGTCTAGGCCTTGTAAAAGTTTTTTAAGGACCCCAGAAGTTTTTCAATGAATCTTGTAGATTTTCAACCCCTTCCTTGCCTTTTCCAGCTCCGAGATCCACTAGAATCAGAATCATTTTTGTCCAAATTCCCCAACCCTGGACACAAAGAGAGCCAGAGGTGTTGGAAAATGCTCAGGAGAATTCCAAGTTCAGGGAACAGACTGAACTGAACACTGTTCCCAGCATGTTCATTGGCCTCGGTTTCCTATCTCTTTCCCGACCACTGTGATTGTCACAGAGAGGAGCTGGCCCTTGGGACCCAGTCAAAGAGGCCATCTGTTTTGGCAACTACAGGTGTCTCACATTTCCTTGGTGCTCTCTAGCCCAAGCTATATTTAGTGGATGGCAACTTTGGAAAACCACTTCAGTAAAAATGAGAGTTAGCACTGACTTTGAGGAAACCCTAAATGGGACTTGTTCCTAAAACCATGACCAGAGGGGCAACTCTTTTCTCTGTGTCCTGCCAGAGGCCCAACCCCTCTCCACCCCTGGGCCCAGGTATGAGCAGGCTCTGGGCAGGAATGGGTCTTGGGACGGGGATGTGGATCTCTGGATTTCCTAAAGCAGGTGGAGCTGTGAGCAGGAGGTTGAACTGGAGTAAAACTCACCAGTTCCAATCCTGCTAACTGGGCCGTTGC